CCCCCCCCCCTCTCTCTCGTCAATTGGGTTTCAGGTCAGTCAAGTTCTCCGATCTCTCTCTGCTTCTGTGATTTCTGTGTTCTCTGCCATTTTTATTTTTCATTTTTCGTGTATTTTGAGCTGCCACTACTAAGCGCGCTGTTTCAATTGTATCAGAAGTTATATTTCTTTTGGCCTAGATCTTTACCTCTCTATGTTTCTGTAGCTGTCTTTTCTTGTTGGTTCTTCCAATATACAAATTCAGCCTTTTTTCTCTTACGCAACTATTTGGTGTTATTTCATTTTTGCGATGAAAGCTGATTCCTGCTATTGGTTCATTTGACTTTGAGTTGTAATTTCTGTTTGGTGTTTTAGATTTCGAATCTTAATTATAATTCAGTCGGTTTTTGAGTATTGAGTAGGACTTCAAGAATTTTTTTAGTATATCATGTGGTCAGCTATTACTTTCTTAACTAATTGGATCTGAATTATGAAGTTGGAACATGGAAGTTTAGGGTTTTTTTTTTTTATAGTTGGTTGGAGTTTTCTGTAAGCTTGTATTTGATATTATGAAAAGTTTGATTTGGATAATTTCTTATTTTATTTGGTGGTGAACGTTGCGCTTTTCTTTTGGTCAACTGGTGGTGAAAGTAGCTTTTTGTAGCGGAACCCAGATTGAGTTTGTTAGGTTTTGTTGTAGAATTTTGATATATAGAGGAGAGAGAGAGAGAATGTCAGGAGGGGGCACACAGAAGAGCTTACGGAAAGCACTTGGAGCCCTCAAGGACACCACCACAGTTTCGTTGGCTAAAGTCAATAGTGATTACAAGGTATTGCGCTTTGTTTGTTTTTGTTTTGGATGGTTCTCACAATTATGATGCATCTGATTTTCATAGTTGGGCATTGAATCTTGCAGGAATTGGACGTTGCCATAGTCAAAGCTACAAATCATGTTGAGCGTCCAGCTAAGGAAAAATATATCAGAGGTAGATTATCTCTCTCTGTGTCGCTCTCTCTCTATCTATGTCCAAAGATGGGTTGCATGTTGTACTTTTCATGATCTGCATCCAGAAGAAAGATCGGCTTATCTTTGTTTTTCTTTTGAAGCCATTTTTTCTGCCGTTTCTGCTACAAGACCTCGGGCTGATGTCGCATACTGCATCCATGCTCTTGCAAGAAGGTTATCGAAGACACATAATTGGGCGGTATGGACATTTTCTCATCAGACAAACATACAAGACTTCATACATAGCCAGGAAGCTTTTTTTGTTTGTTTGTTTTCCTGTATCTATAGTTGGAATAATCTTCATCTTGATTGTCATTCTTGGGCAACCATAGTGAGTGGAAGAAAGTTAAAAAAAGAAGAAGAGGAAGATACTCTAGAGACTAGACTTAATGTTCATGGCTTTCTTGTTTGCAAGGGAAGAACACATGTGACTTGAAACATAATGACTTGAAATGTACCAAATATATGAAATTATAACGAAAATTTAAGGCATAATCTAACTGTGCTTCCTTCTTCATAATGTAACTGTGTGTCTTGCCTGAAATTTTACTAACTGATTATTGGTTGGTGTTTAGGTTGCATTGAAAACTTTAGTTGTTATTCATCGTGCTTTGAGGGAAGTGGACCCTACTTTTCATGAAGAACTCATGAATTATGGTAGAAGTAGAAGCCATATGCTTAACTTGGCTCATTTCAAAGATGATTCCAGTCCAAATGGTACCTTTCCATTCCGCTGACTCCATCTTTATCATACTCTTTTTCTATTTAAACTGATTTTTTTTTTCACTGCCCAGCATGGGATTATTCCAACTGGATTCGTACTTATGCTTTGTTCTTGGAGGAGAGACTGGAATGCTTCCGTGTGTTGAAATATGACGTTGAGATGGATCGCCCAGTAAGAAGTTTATTTTCTCTATATCATCTTTCTTTGAGCTTCTATATCGATCAAATTGACAACTTTTGTTTTAGGGATGTTATGGCAAACACTTTTTATGTCAATGACATTCTGAAATTTCTGAACTGATTGATTTATCAGAATAGTTATTAACTACAGTTACTTATTTTTTTCTCCCTCTAAGGTTTCTTCTTACTTTTCTATTCACACATTCAAGTGCTATTTCTAGATTTTTCTATTTTATGCACTTATATATGTCTACAAACTTTGGCTAGTCTCATTCTTTATAAAGTATTGTTTTGCAACTTCATAGCTTGACATTGTGGTGCAGAGGACCAAAGATCTGGATACTGTCGAATTGCTTGAGCATTTGCCTGCTTTGCAACAGCTTCTTTTTCGTGTACTTGGTTGCCAGGCAAGTCTTTTCAACACAACAAAACAAATGTTTTTATGGTTTGCTGATATGCGGTTAAACACAAATACGTGTTCAAGCCCATGTTAATGTACCGGAAGAATGTTACCAATGATGGGTGCCACGATATGTCAATCAATATAACTGACCATTTTTTAATATCCTTTAAGTTTCTATTAGTGATATCAATAAAAAATTTTTGCAGCCACAAGGGGCAGCAGTTCATAATTTTGTGGTTCAATTAGCACTTCAAATGGTAGGTGAAGCTTGCAATATGTCTAGCTGAATGACTAGCCAATATGTTTTCTTTTCTTCTGATTTTCTTCTATCATATCATTAAATTAGGTTGCTTCTGAAAGCATCAAGATTTATCAAGCTATAAGTGATGGAACAGTCAATTTGGTTGACAAGGTAGGATATGAACTTTGCTATTTGGAATAGAACACTAGAAGCTTTCCATATAAGCTAATCATATATGATAATCATTTCTGTCACAGTTCTTTGAGATGCAACGCCATGATGCTGTGAAAGCCCTGGATATATATCGGAGGGCAGGGCAGCAGGTAATTTTTCTGGGAATTTCTGTTCTTATTAGTGAGAGTCATATTATGTATCAGCATTTACATTTCATCTGCATGTTTTCAGGCAGAGAGACTTTCAGAGTTTTATGAAGTATGTAAAAGTCTTGATATTGGGCGTGGAGACAAGTTTATCAAGATTGAGCAGGTTGACTACTTTACTGCAGTTCCTTTGACAGCATTGCATTCCTTGGATTATTTGTAACTTTCTCGAACTGATTTAATTTTGGGTTAATAATTCTTTCATAATGTAGCCACCTGCATCATTTTTACAAGCCATGGAAGAATATGTGAGAGAAGCTCCCCGGGTCTCAACAGTTCGCAAGGATCTGGTATGAAAGTGCTCTGAGCTTATCAAATCAACCATTAAAAAGCTGAATCCAAAGTCGGCTTTTAGAAGCAATTGCAGTACTTATAAAGCTTTCATAATGCAATCAGATTAACAAGCACATATAGGACATACATAAACCTTAGTCAATTCAGTGTATACAGTTTGCAGCAATTTCCCTTATGTTCAATCTTTAACCTGGCAGGTGGTTGACAATAAGATTAATGCCCCAAAGGAAGTCTTGGCTATAGAATACAAAAACACCCAAGAGGCGGAGGCACGCCCACCTTCACCACCTCCACCTGAACCAGTGAAAGTTGAAGCACCTATAGCTGAACCTCCTGACCTGCTGGTAGTTCTCATAATCCTTCTTTTTCTGTTCTCCCTTGAATATTAGCATGCTGTAGTTTTGAAATCTTTTGGCTTACTTTGTCTCTTTGAAGTTTCATTATTCATGCTTTCCTTTGTTGCTAGGGTTTGAATGATCCTGTTCCAGATACCAAAGATTTGGATGAGAAGAATGCTATGGCTTTAGCTATTGTTCCAGTATGTAAGTACTCTCTCTCTCTCCCTCAATGATTTATAGCTCATAAATTTCATCAGAGTGTTGAGGTTTCAATTCACTATGAATTCAGTTTGAACTGGTTTGTTTCCAAGAAACACGCACAAAGCTTCTTTTCTTCATTTTCTTCTTTATTTTAACATAAAAACTCTAAATAAATTTTTTATATCTGAAAATGCTATTATGGTTCTTGCAGCGGATCAACCACCTTCTACAGCTCCAATTCACGCAAATGGAACTACAGGTTGGGAATTGGCACTTGTTACAGCACCAAGCTCAAATGAGAGTGCCACAGCTGCTAGCAAACTGGTATTCTTCTCTTTACCAATTTCCCATAAAATATCCTAATGTTTAACAATTAATTAGTCAGTATTAGTGTATGGGCAAAAATATTGAAAAAGGTTCATTTACTCTCTCCTCTCTATGTGGCTTACATGATATGAATATGCAAGCACAATCTTTTGCTGTTCTACCAAAAGCAAAGCGATGCTACTTTTTTGACTTTACACATTTTTGTTGTTAAACTTTCAAGCAACACACTTCCTTTTTCTTTTTCTTATTTGGCCTAATGAACGAACACTGTTGACTCCTTTCAACTGTTGTGTGAAGGCGGGCGGGTTGGACTTGCTTACACTAGATAGCCTATACAATGATGCAATCAGAAGAAACCATCAGAATGTGAGCTACAACCCATGGGAGCCTGTTCCAGTGGCTGGTGCCATGATGCAACAACCAGTTCATGATCCCTTTTATGCATCCAACACAATGGCTGCACCGCCTTCTGTGCAGATGGCAGCAATGGCCAACCACCAGCAGGCCTTCATGTTGCAGCAACAGCAGCAGATGATGATGATGGGTCCACAACAGCAGCAGTCTTTGAACCCTTTTGGAAATCCTCATGCAGCCACTACCCACCCCTATGGCCCCGGTGTGCCTGTCCAAGCATACAATCCATATACCGGCCTTTTATAGCTGGTTTGTCAAGCAATACATCTTTATCGAGAAATACGGGGAAGAAAGGGACATGAAAGCATAGTCAGTTTTAGATATCGAGCATCGGAATCGGAAATTTGGAGAGACAGACGTGTACCATATGTTTTGTATGTGCAGTGGTTAGCTAGGATTAAGATTCTTTGTTAAATAAATAGTCAGAGGGGAGGACTTTGAGCTATTTGGTGATTTGCATTCATGTTGTGGGGAGACTACACACTAAAATTCTTTTGACCTGCTTTATTGCTGTTGAGACTCGAGCAGGAAATCTTATTTCAACTCTTTTTCAGTTTCTTTCTGTTTTCCTCCCCCTCTCCTTTGGTCCTTAAGGATCTCTATAAAATTATAGAAATTATTTGTAATTTGTGATTGTTGATAACAGACAGTTATGTAACGAGGAGACATTAAATTTGATTTATGGTTCTTGGCTATTATTCTCTTTTATTTTCTTCGTTACCTTTACTTTCTCTTCATTTATTCTTTAATACAGACTTATAAAATACAAGCACTACATACATCATCAAGACATAACAAACAGCACAGATAATTCAATGAAAGAAAGAAAAAAAACAACACAGATAAAATGAAACCACTTTATTTATTTATTTATTTTTCGAAACGGCACGGGTTTGGATTCCTTTTTGTTTTTGTTTTTGGGCCACATCGTATGGGTGGTGGGTATAAATAAGAAAAAAGAACGTTTTGGACAAACTTGATTTGATTTTTAGCGGTTCGGTTCGATTCGCGAACTGATAATCCGCGCAGCTATACTCTTAAAATATTCCATTTAAATAGTAATGCCGTGTGGCTATACTGTTAAATTATTCTATTTAAAGAGTATATACTGCCGAAATTTCTATTTATAGATTATGGCCGTGCGGCTGTAATTATAAATTATTCTATTTAAAGAGTATATACCGTTAAACTATTCTATTTAACGAGTACAGCCGCGCGGCTATACTGTTAGAATATTCTATTTAAAAGTTATAGCCGGCCGGCTATATTATTATAATTTCTATTTATAGTGTATAGCCGAACGGCTATACGTTTAAAATTTCACGTGTAAAATTTCTATTTATAGAGTACAGCAAAAGAAACTAATTTTATATTTTTACTATATTTAAAATAAAATAAAAGCAAGAAAACCTGTCCCGACGAAGGTCAGGTTCGAGTCGGTTGCGACGGTGACTCAGGGTTTCAATTGCGAGAGGATGACGAACCTACACTTTTCTGCAATTCAGTCCGATTGGATCTCCTCGATCGTCGTCGGTGGTTCACTTCTTCTCGAAGAAGTGGAACGCGTTGATGGCGACATCGCGGGGTTTTCGAATGAATGGAGAGTTTGAGGCATAGATCAGCCTCGTTCTTGGATCCGCATTTTTCTTTGGAGGTTTAGGGTTCGAGCGCATGCGGGTACACTTCCTTCTCATTCTTCATGAACCTCTTGATTTGCAAATCAGTTTTGATTTTTGTCCCAAGCATGATATAGATTGACGGCTGCTAATTCGTTTGTGTTCATTGGTTTTGTGGAGATGATTTGGGTATTCTTAGGAAATAACCATTGTTATGTTATGTTGAATTTCCGTTTCCATCACATAAACTTTTGAACATTCTAATATAATTTTATTCAATTTCATTTTGTAAACAAATATATCCTGTTTTTATGTTAAGTTAAGAGTTAGAAATGAATCATGCAGTCACTAGTGTGGCTGATAGGCAAGTATGTCGCCCTATGAAGCACAATGTTGAGGTTATACTTTTCTGTTTTATGCTTTGGTTCTGATCATACTTACTCATTTAAACAAAGAGAGGCTCCCCGTTTTTGAGTTCTCCAGCAATGGTTAAATATTTTATGCTCTGTTCTTGTTGTTGGCAGATTGAAGATGAAGGAATGATAGAAGTAGGAAAACTTGCAAGGTGAAGTCATGAAAGATTTATGCGAGGTACATGAACTCTTTTTTGAATTTATGGGAAGAATTACATTTTCTGGACGTGGTGATTGTTAAAAATACATGTTTGTGGTTGGTTGCAAATGAATCGTGTAGTGCAGCCACCGGTGTGGCTGATGTCTAGGCAAGTCCTTAATATAAGTAACGTGAGAACTAAATTGAGTTGTCCTCCGTATTTTGTCAAGGTAGGTGTTGTTGGTGAAGCCGGAGATGAATGATAACGCGATCTAATTGTCCAGTTGACGAAGAAGCTGCTGCTGCTGTTCAAGAGTGAGTCGGTGGTGTTACGAAGGAGAATGCTTTGCTAAGTTTTGTTTGGTTGTTGGAATTATGGGAAGAGAGCGAGGAGAGAAAACGAATTGGACCGTATTCACGAATTGACCCCTATCGTTGTATGCTTGATGAAGTTCGGATTTGTTGTATAGCGAAAATGAAGTCGTTTACCAACAGGAGTTGCCCCAAGTGGAAGGGGCTTGGATCCTTTAAACAAGAGGTCCTGGGTTCGATCCCAGGCGCTTGCGAATAGAGCAGACTTTGTTGGGAGAGGTCCCCGCTTTGCGCCCGACAGTACCTCGAGGGTTAGTCCCCGCAATCGCGCGGGGGATACCTTGGTTTTCACCCAAAAAATGAAGTCGTTTTGTGAAAAAGAAACAAGATTGTTCTTAAACTGTCCTCTTGTCTAAGTTGGAAATTAATAAAAAAGGAAATTATGTTTTGCTTGCCAAAATTTCATTCCTTATGGACTTTTTAAAGTGTATATACACAAGGGGCGGATGCACTATCTTTCGCAATTGACTCTTGCCCACTCCTTTATTATTGATTAAAATTTAAAATCTGAAAAATATAATCACACAAAAGCAAAACAAAACAAACCCACAAAAAGTAAAACTAATATACTATTCACAGTGTTAGAGTAAGAAGCAAAGAGAGAATAATTACAAAATAAAAATAAAAATAAAAATAAGATAAAGAGAGAGCTTCTTCTTCACCCTTCAGTTCAGCCATCATCACGTTGTTGTTGTTGTTGTTGTTGTTGTTGATGATGTTCTCACAATAACAGCAAGGGGTTACTAACAGTAATCACCAAACAATGTCTTGGCTCTTCGGCTCTCTCCAACCAGACGATCCACTTGATGAAGCCAAGCAACCACACAGTCCTTCCAGTTCCCGCGTACCAAACGACATGTCGTTTCTCGGCCAAACCCTCTGCAGCCAACTCCGCGGCGTCGCCAGCTTTCTCGCTCCACCACCACCATCATCATCACCGTCCCACGACGCCGTTCCCTCCTCCAATTCTCAACCGCAGCCGCCGTCACAATCGCAATCGCAAGCGCTTTTAGGAATCCGAAACGATCTGGTGGAGATCGGCGGCAGCTTCAAGAGCGGTCTCTCGCTTCTCTCTACAAATAGTAACAAAGCCGTCACTGAGATCTCCAAGTTCGCTTCGAACTTGTTGCAGCTTCAGAACAAAGCTCTGGAAGACGATGCTGATGATGATGATGATGATGATGATGACGCTTCCGTGCCGGGGATTACCGACGACGTTATCGGTTTCGTCACCGAAATTTCGGTGCTGCCAAACTATTGGACCGACTTTCCTATACTAGTCGATCACGGTCAAGTTCCTAACTTTCACTTCTAATTTAAGCGTGTGCGCGTGACGATTGCATAATTTTCCTTCAAATGCAATGCAATGCTGGTTTTGCCTGCTTTCTTTGTTTGTGTTGCTTGGTTTTGCTTGCGAAGTTGTGGATTGTAAATTGAAATTCCGCTGGTCAACTTACATTGACTAAAGTTGAGCTCTTTTTTTTTATCCTTTCTTTTTAGTTTGGGGTGGGAGCTAAAGTTTATTACACATGAATCCAAAGTGTCTTGAAACCTGTTATGCGTTCTCTGTGATGGTTTCTGTTTCACCTCAGATGTCCTGTACAATTAGCTGTTAATCTTGTTTGAACTTTGGAGTGATCGCTATGGGAACTGATTTTGGAGACCTATGATTCTTTTGTGCTTAAGATACAAAGATTAAAAAGATAATTGAAACAAATTGACGTGGCATTTAATCTATTGATGTTGAACTTGTTTTATTGCAGATTTCAGCATGTCTGATGCTCAGAGAGAACATGCCTCCACTGTTGAACGATTGGTTCCAGGCTTTGCAGACCTAAGAACCAGACTTGGCAGTTCCATGAGCGAGAAACGATTTTGGATGATCTATTTCTTGCTGTTGCTTCCGAGACTAAATGAACCCGATTTTGAGCTTCTATCAACCCCCAAGGCGAGAACTTTGTCTTTCACATCTTGTCTCATTCTTCTTATCTATATTTGCATGCATACTAGGAGAGCCTAGTTGCAATTTTCTTTGTGGATGCATCTTTACCATATTTAAGATACTTCGTTTAAGGTTCTACGGTAGCTATTCTTACTGCAGTTTGCAGTCTTTGTACGTGAGAATTCAATCTGCTTTACCTGTCACCAGCTGCACTTTTGAGCAGTTTTGTTCATTGCATTTATGGTAGCTTCTTAGCAAATGTTATAGCATCTTTCTAGCTAAGGACACAGGAGAGAGGGAAAAGATCTACCATGTCCTATCTTGTCATGTGAATCAGAGCTGTATTGATTTCTGTTAGATGGGTTTAGTGAAGGGATTAACGAAGGAGGAGAAGGAGAAGGAATTGGGGAAGTGGATTGTCTGATTCTCTTAGAAAGGGAATCGAGTGCTTATTCACTGTGTGTCTAAACTGAGTTTTCAATCTCAAATTGTTCAAATGTCGTGTGTTTCTTTCTAGTGAATCCATGTGAGTATTGATTCTGTGGCACTTTAGATTGTCCAAGAAGTTTGGATTGTTTTTCAATTCCACGTTTCAGCTTCCAACAATACTTGTAAGTTGTAACAAATGCATTATTTTGAAAATAGAACTTCCTTCTTTGCAGATTGTTGAAGCAAGAGACGTGCTTCTGCACAAGCTTCAAAACAAGAGGAACACACAGGTGGATTGCTGTGAGAAGTCAATTCTTGATTCACCTAAAAAGGACATCCAGGTTGGAAAGGCACAAGGGGTGGAAATCTCATCTCAAGAAAATGAAGCTTTGACTGAGATAGTTAATACAGCAGGAAGGTTAAAGATCGATGAGGAAGAGAGCACTGAGCAGTGGTCTGAAGAGACAAGTATTAGTTCTGTCACTTTCGTGGATGGCCAAAGGAAACATGAAACTGAAGAGGATATCTCATTCAGCGATTTAGAGGACGATGAAAATGACCTTTCTAGTTCTACTAGACTATCAGGCCTAAGGCGAGGACGAGACGTCAGGGCATGTTCACCCTATGGGTCAAATGACTGGGTTCAGCTGAATAGAAGTTCTGAGATTGAGGGTGGCCAGCGAAAGGCTGGTCAGTCAAAAGAGAGAGATTCAGAAGGTGAGGATTCAAATGACTGGCTTACTGTAGATGGGTTTGATTAGGCAATACTAGCAGCAGCTTGTTTGCCAACTCATTGTAAAGTTTCTGTTTCTTTTTCTTTTTCCGCTTTTTGGGTTGGGTGGGCTGGATTCTGTACTTATGGGTATTAACATCTTATACAAGCTGTTTAAATTAATAATACAATGGAGTTCATTTCAAATGGCTACATTTACTGCTTATTAACACAAGCGTATTGTGGTTATAACAATAGCTATTCGTTTTCAACAATTTGTTACAAGTTGTGTTTTACTCAAAACATGTACAAGCAATCCACTTTCTTCTTTTCTTCCACAGATGAGTAACACAAATTTCTTAGGGAAAAAAAAAATGAAGCAAAATTGTACAAACAGTCAACCAGAAATCCATCATTACATAACAGCTAAGAACTACAGTTCGCATACACCCCAGCTAAGAGTTAACATACAGCTGCCCTGACCTAGATAAATTGCAGAAAAAGAACGATCTCTAATTCTGTGGACAAGTGAAACTGCACTTCTGGATTCTGGACAAGTAATTTAGACAGCAACTATAAATGACAACGCCGCATGATCTGAAGCAGCAAAAGTTTATATTAGACATCTACAACCACAATTGATGTAGTGAAGATTCGAGGTCAAATGGAATTTCTGAAGCAGGAGAAAAGCTCCTAGGACAGAGCTGATCCTTTGGATATCACGTGAAACACCGGCAACTGCTGGCCCTTGTTGAATGGTCAGCGATTCCAACCTACAATGAAAGACAAGGGGAAAAAAATTAAGAAAAGTGAGCATGACATGTTGGCTCGTTTTAATGAACCAAGTAACCACACAAAGTTTTCCAACTTTTTCTTACGCGCACGACTTTTGGCAACTGTCATACTCTTGACATGAGGAAGTTCTTTCTCAAGCTGAGCAAAAGTAGAAACCACATCAGTGTCCTTCATCATAACATATAGTTCCCCCAGATTGGGAACCCTTTGGAAAGAGAGTTCTATATCATCACCCTTATATTGGAAACTGGTAAGATTGGTGGCACTGAGTTCAATCCCCTTTAACCCTTCACAGAGGCTCACCACCAGCACCTTCAAACGACGAAGAGAATCACCTATGCACAATCTTTCTAATCCAAAACACCATTGCAATGTTAAACACTCAAGGTTTGAACAAGAAGAAAATATATGTGGCTCAACATGTCCAGCGAGATTTACATCACACAACACAAGAGTTGATAAGGTGCTAAATCGATCAAAAAAATCTGACTGAAGTGTGCATGAGCGCAAGGAAAGATGCCTTAATTTGGATTCTTCACCATGCAAAAGGAGCTGAGTAGGAAAATGATAATAGTCAATGATTCTCCAATCGATGCGCTCAGCTGGTTTGTCACAAGTAAAGGCAAGATCAAGATTTTCAACGCCCTTTCTAATGGCAAAACTAATCCAGTCATTGATCTGACGAGCGTACGTATTTCCAAAGCAACATGAAACCTTGAAGGAGACAACCTTCGTGCCCAAATGACATGCTAAGAATCTTTCTAGTCTTGCTAGAAAACAGCGCACTTTCCTCTTGCAAACCGTTCCAGGAGTTGAATCAGCTGGTGTGGAGATTATGTCATGCCAATCGAACTCGAGATTTGACATGTATGCATACATGTTCTTCCACCTACGTGATAATACGCTCGTGTGTACAGCATCCCTCATACTCAATAATGAGACAATGGTATGAAGAACATCATCTGGCAATTTACTGATGTGATCCTTGTCATTGATGTTGCACTACATGATTGCAGATCATATACCATTTTAATATAATCAACAGGAACAACTGCGCATTATATTAATCAACAGAAGAAGAGAAGAAGAAAAACAGAAAGCAGCAGCAAATTTTAACTAGGAAGATAAATTACCCCTAAAATTGCAGATTTTGTTTAATTCTCTGTTCTATAATTTCATTTTACTAAATCCAAACTTACAATATTGAATAAAAAATGGAACTTTCGTAACATGAATTCCAATTTCCAGTCATCTTAATTTGTTTCAAATGAACTATTCTAAATCCAAACTTACAACATTTACAAAACCCTGTTTCTCTTTTTCTTTTTTTTCGTAAAACAAAATTCTGTTTTTCTTGACTTGACCCGAATTTGCTAAAATTCTCGAATGAATCTTTAAAAGTTTACCTCAGAATTCCCTTCCAAATATGCTTGATTCAATTCAATTATAAAGCATATATTTATCAAATTAACAGCTGAAAATAAAGTACCTTTCTTGGACAAGAGTCTACTTCCGCTCCAGAGCCAGATATCTGACGCTTTCTCTTCATGATTTTGGGCTTCAAGAGCTTCGATTTTCTTATGGAAGGCCAGAGAGTACAGAAGCGCGCAAAGCCCTAGTGCAATTGTGCCAAAGCTTCGGCGCTCGAACACATTGAGTCAACAACAAAAGCCCTAAATATTTATCTGCCCAGAAAAGGAAAAGAAGCAGCAAACAAACAACGCAGGATGAGTGCACATATGTCCTCGGAGTTTACAAATGTCCGATCCCCATGCTACAGAGCGATCACAAGTGTTCTTTTTTGGTCTAAGACCGATCACAGTTCACAAGCTCGCCACTACGCACAAAATTTATTTGTATTTACCAAAGTTTTCTTTTTCCATTAGCAAAACACAGTAAAATTGTTTTTTTTAACACTTAACGTCTTGTAGCTTTACTGATTAAGAAAGAGCATACGAATTTTCATTCGTAAATAATGAAGGTTATTACAAAATATGTGTGTGTTACAATTCATATGATATTATATATATATATATATATATATATATATATATATATATATATATATATATATATATATATATATATATATATATATATATATATATATATATATATATATATATATATATATATATATATATATATATATATATATATATATATATATATATATATATATATATATATATATATATATATATATATATATATATATATATATATATATATATATATATATATATATATATATATATATATATATATATATATATATATATATATATATATATATATATATATATATATATATATATATATATATATATATATATATATATATATATATATATATATATATATATATATATATATATATATATATATATATATATATATATATATATATATATATATATATATATATATATATATATATATATATATATATATATATATATATATATATATATATATATATATATATATATATATATATATATATATATATATATATATATATATATATATATATATATATATATATACTTAAAATGAGAGTGGAAAATAATTGTGTGTGATCGTGAGGGCAAAAATAAATTCAACATGCAGGAACTTAAAATGAGAGACCGTACACAAACACAATGCGGCGCGCGTGCTCCGGCACGAACCCAGTTCCGTCTAGGTAGGGCTGTAGCCCGACCCAAATCATACCTATGTAGCCCACCTCCTCTTACCCAAGTAAGGCTTCTTTATGTTTTGTTTTTTTGTTTTAATTTAGCAATGTTTATGTTACTGTTGGGCTAGATGATTGTTTGCTTGATCGAATTCATTCATTCAGAAATCCATATACGCTCTGATAAGCCCACACTCACACCAAGAGATAAACCAGCCCACCACTGTTGAACCGAGAAACAAAAGACAAGGACAACAAAAGAACCAGCCAATTTCAATCCTGTGGTCATTCATGCATGGTTGATGGTTGGCCAATTGCCGATTGTCGCCATTGAACAATGCCAATAAAAGAGTTAGATACATTTTAATTTATTCACTCAGATTTTTTATATGCTTCCACCATCAGACATCAGTAATTGAGTAATTATGCATGTTAATTAAGTAATTATCATTTCATTTCATTTCGAATGATGGAAAGTTCACTTTAGTTGCTTAAAAAATCTTGGACCTCTCGATCGAGTCTCGACCCACTTGGCCATGTCCCATGTGCCATTATTGGTAGTATTGTACTATAGTCTATACAGATTAGATTCTTTTTGTTCCTTTCTCTACACCGGCCGATTTATCAATAAGAATGCTAATTAAGTATATATATCGATCAAAAATAAATTACCAAACATCCTGTGGCTGCCGTGCTTCATCAAACCACGACCATTAGATTTAGATCCATCAGTTACCAAAAAAGAAGAATTACTGCATGCGTTAGAGACACAACACCCGACAAAATCCAATTAGAAAGCACTAATATGTTATCATATACAGTGGCAGGCATGGCATCTTGTGCAGATGCTGATGAATGAATGTTATTTCCCTTCTTCCCATGAGAACCAATGAAGAAGACAACTTAAACAAAACACACAGCAACATCTGCCTACTGTTAGCGCTCTGAATTCAAAAAGAGAACACATGTCTAATAGCTAATCACTTTTTTAATTTATAAACCTTAATTAATTAGCCAAGCAAAGAGAATGTGCATTCAAAATTACGATGCCATGTAGCCCTATAGGTATAGCCCTACAAGTTATAAGATATATAGATGGATCCAGCCACAGAAAGCTAACCTAAACCAAGTAGATCTAAGTGGAGGGGATAATATTTTGTATGATCGTGAATATATATGTATATATATATATATATTGAGTTGATTCAGTGCAGCAGTGCATATGATTCAGTAGATGAAGTTCAATCATTTGGTTCTGAAGAGAAGAACAATTGGGGAGAGAGAGAGAGAGAGAGATAAATTTTTAAATAAATTTAAAAAAGAAGGTATTAATATTGCATTGCATGCAGGAGGAGACCGATCACATCAAGATGAGGAAAGCAGAATCACGGATCACACAAGCATACAAAAGCATCCAGCTAGCTAGCAAAGCTTCTCAATTCATGTCCTTCGTTCATTTATTCACCACTGCTTCTCATATCCTCACAGACTCACAGTCACGGATGTACACATACAACACATATATAGATTTATATATAGAGAGACCAAAATTTCATACACATATCATGCATATATACACACATACACACACACACATATATATATATATATACACGTCTGCCTCTCTTTGATCTTCCCCACCATTCCTCTATTATAATTCTCTCTCCTTTCCTCAACCACCATTATTCCACATGCTTGCCCAGCTGTTCTGTTTTTCCTAACAGCTACCACACAAGTTTGTCCTAAAATTTTGAGGGCCCTATGCAAAATTTAAACGAAATCCCTCAATTTAATATGAAAATATTTATAAAAAAAATTGACAAGACTTAACACCATAAAACAATTTTTTTAATAACTAAAATTCATCATCTATTAGCATGCAATAGCAATCATAAATAACATTCATAAAAGTTTTAATGTTTCAATTTGAGAAAATGGAAGAGGAAAAAGACATGCACTTTTTTTGTTTCGTTTTGAGTGGGTGAAAACATACACTCCAAATTTTTTTGTTTGATTGGAGAAAACTTGTATATATTGCTTTCCTCTTCTTTGATGTGTTTCCTTTTTCTTTTCTTTTTTCTATTGTTAACAATTAAAAAAAAAAGTAGAAATGTAAAAATACAACTACTGAATGACACAATATGGACTCAAATCCAACTTGCCTACTAAAATCAAGGGGATGAATTTCTACTCAACCAAATACACACTTGTGTTACATTCCTGCACGCTCAAGTATATATATTACCTATAATATTAATATACATAATATACACGTAAAAAAATTTGGGACACTTAAAAATTAGGGGCTTGTGCAGTGGCACCACTTGCACACCCTCAGGACTGCTTCTGCCACACACACACTCTCTCTCTGAGCAGTCTGATTTGATGATCTGGTATATATGTAGTACGTGCGTGTCCTTAAGTTTTGAGTGTGACCAATGCAAGAGGCTGAGTTTGGACTTAATAGGAGGAAAAGGAACTCCGATTGCCTAGCTAAGCTTAGCTCCCTGTTACCATTTTGGGACGTACCAAAAGCACTTGCCATATTATCCACATAAACAATTATTTGAATATGCGGAAAAGGAACTTCCAATTTACAGCTTATACAATTCAATATGCAAACTGTTAATTTGACTAAAAAAACTTACCCTATTCCATCGACATGAGACTCGACCTTGTTATACAATAACATCGCATTCCATCAACACGTGAAGGGAGATAAAGATGACCTCCTTTCAAGTGGGACCTATACTTAAGCAATAATTAAGCATGTACTCGTCCTTAGATTAGATCTCCCTCTGTTCATGATCCATAAACTTAACTTTTATCCTTCATCTTCATGTGTAATTGATGATGAAATAATATGTTGAATGTACGTAAAACAGAACAACCCCTATATATCTATCTATCTATCTATCTATCTATCTATAAACCCCAAAGATAGCATCCACAAGCTACCAATGGCCGTACGTAGTGAGTGAGTGGCCATGATTGGCATCCAATAAAACAAAACTATTCCATCGATCCCCCAAGAAGATCACCATCCAAAGCTTAATTGTTAGTTTAATTAGGGGGACTAGCTACTACTCCTCTACTGGGACTTTTTCATGATTATAGTACAAAGTTAAGCATGAAAATCCATGTAAATTAACGACAAGATTATGAAACAATAACATAAAAAGAAAATAATGGCAAATGGACGCATGCAAATTTAAGGAGTAAGTTATGCCAACTAGCCAAGTTTGGCAGCTGCCTTTTGCTTTGCTAGCCCCATGTTCACGTGATGTGCCTCTTAGGGTTTTTTGTTCTCTTGCCCTCGTCACTATTCCTATTTAACATCCTCTTTCCACTACAAAAGTTTTACCTCATCTCATCATCACTCTCATCACTCTCATCAGCAAAGAGAGAGAGAGAGAGAGCTAGACTACTGCGGTGAAGAACATGGCCGAATCCAGTAAGCTCCATGCTCTCTTCTTCATTTGCTTGCTCTTCATCTCCTCAGCCACTCCCATTCTTGGCTGCGGTACTTGTGGCAAGCCTCCTCCAAAGCACAAGCCTAAGCCTAAGACCCCCGTCGTCAAGCCCCCCGTCGTCAAAGTCCCTCCGGTCATCCCTCCCATTGTTAAACCACCAGTCACAATCCCACCCGTTGTCAAACCACCAGTTATAATCCCTCCCATTATCCCACCCGTTGTCAAGCCACCAGTTATAGTCCCTCCCATTATCCCACCCGTTGTCAAGCCACCAGTTATAATCCCTCCCATTATCCCACCCGTTGTCAAGCCACCAGTTATAATCCCTCCCATTATCCCACCTGTTGTCAAACCACCCGTTATAATCCCTCCCATTATCCCACCCGTTGTCAAGCCACCGGTTATAATCCCTCCCATTATCCCACCCGTTGTAAAGCCACCGGTTACAATCCCACCAATTATCCCACCCGTCGTCAAGCCACCGGTTACAATCCCACCCATTGTTAAGCCACCAGTTACAATCCCACCCATCACTGTCCCACCCATTTTGAAACCGCCAGTGACCCTGCCTCCTATAGTGCCACCTGGCATAATCCCTCCAGTCATAGGAGGAGGGCCACCGGGTAAAAAGCCTCCGAGTCCCGGGAAACCATGCCCTCCTCCTGCCGGGGCTCCGGGTGCCAAGGATACTTGTCCCATCGACACGCTGAAACTGGGTGCTTGTGTGGATCTTCTTGGTGGGTTGGTGCACATTGGGCAAGGTGACCCAGTGGTAAATGAATGCTGCCCAGTGCTGCAAGGGCTTGGTGAACTTGAGGCTGCCGTGTGTCTCTGCACAACTCTCAAAATCAAGCTTCTTAACCTCAACATCTTTGTCCCGATTGCTCTTCAGCTCCTTGTCACTTGTGGCAAGTCACCTCCTCCTGGTTACACCTGCTCTCTCTAAAAGAAATTAACTAAGTATTTACACTAATTAATTGGTTATTTAAATTAGTGCTAATTACGTACGTACATTAATCTCTCAACCCTAGCTAGCCCCTCACTTGAGTATTTTAGCTTACCCCTTCCCAAGAGAACAAAAGCTTAAGGGACCAAAAATCCAAGCAATTTTGTTCTGTCCGAAGCAACAAAACATCCCATATTACTATATCATAGATTCGTAACATATAATTAAATTTGATGTCCGTACGAAGGAGGAATAAATGATGAATTTTTTGTTCTCTCTCTAGATCTATCCCTTTCGTACACGAAAACAAGGTTGCATGACTAGTTTCTTGAAAAATTTCTGTGATAAACATTGAATGTGATGATTTGATGGGATTGCAGGTTGCTAGGTTGATGGATATCCAAGGAGAGCTAGGGAGGGAATCGTCATGAGAGGATGTCGAGCTTCCCCTTGTTCCATGTTTAATCTTTTCTTCTTTAATTGGTATTGAGCTGATGCTTTGGCTTTGATCTTATTAATGTACACACCATTTGTTTTAAATTTGTTGCACGTGTGTTTTATCTCAGGAAAGCAATCAAACATGCTTTTGAATTAATTTTAAATGTTATATTCTTTTTCTTATTTCATTTTGGTTAATATTAATGGAATGAAAGCTATAGCTAGCAGATTTGCCCTAAATTAAATTAATTCAATGAAAAAGGTTGTGAACAAATGAGTGAGTTCACGCATTTGTATACCGCATTCTCATAGTGGCAGATGAGGTGTACAACCACATCAATTAAAACTAATTTGACATTTTCTTTTCTTTTTATGATTTAATAACTGGAAAGTAATAAGTCAATTATAAGTGTATGTGGGTCAACAGAACTTGACTTAGTTATTTAAGGATGAAATTGATAAATAAAACACAATAAAGTAAAATTAATTGACAGCCACATATAAAAACCTTGATGTAATGATAATGAAGCAGGTTGTTTTGGGATTTCTATGGGCTCTGAGGATGTGAATCAGTGCTGTTATTGTTTTCAACTTTCAACAAAGAGACAACAAAAACAAACAAATAATGAAAGAGGTCTTGAGTCAATTCAACTATATATCAAACTTTTACTGTTACCTTACTTTAATGGATTATCAGCCAAATCCCAAATTGATTGATGAGACTCTATCCAAGGATTAAATTGTAAACAGGCAGGGCCTACCAAAGAGAATAATATATTTTACTGTAACTTCTGTGAATTAGGTCAAATGTCTCATTCTCGACCAATTTCTACATTCATACATTTGCCTTTTATAATTAATTCAAGGTACTGAGATAACGATAATGAATTAATTAGGTTGATTAATCTTGCTGGAATTTTTTTAAACATGTATTAATATTATTATTTTTATTCAACCGTCACCTTCCTATGAGAAGGCTATGGAAATGGCGCCGAGAACTTCGCAGCTGGGATTAAAGCAGACGGGAGGGGACCACACTCTAATCCATTGCACGTGGCCACACCTCTTATCTCGAACAAAAATCAAGGAAAAATCTAGTGTCTAGTGTCGTGTGTCGTGTGTCTAGTGTCGTGTGTGTTGATTGGTTCTGATTCTGAATCTTCTGTTGTCTTGTATTGTACAATAGTTTCACGCCGACATTCTGTGGAATTCCAAAGCAAACTCCGATAAACATAAATTTTACTCATGAGAAATTCACCATAGCCATAGGCTCAGAGAGAGAGAGAGAGAGAGAGAGAGGGGCGAAAGATGAATTAATAATCTCTACCCATGAGTCAAATTATGATTCATATGCTCGCTCAATACATGCTAATGAGAATCCAAGGACAACAAAAGAAAAGTATCTCAGGCAGGCTGCATACTTGAACATTCAAATCCAAAGAAACAAGACAAGATGGTTAATGGCGAAATACTACAAGATTGACATTCAAAGGAAAAATGACTTCAATGGGAATACAGAATGAATAAACATTTTCAGTTCCTTTCTCTAGAATGAAGAGCGCATCATCTAACTATGTTGAACCAACTGGATTAGCCACTAAAACACAATCATCTAAATCAGAAACTACATCTCAAATATGAAAGGTGGGCTTCCGCACTAACCAAAACACAGCCACACCCCACCAATTAATAAGCCCTAAGATATGAAAATTTGAGAAAGAAAGAAAAAAAGAAGAACAGAAAATTTATTTCTGAATTGAACTATATATATGGTACAAATCCTCTTAGAAAGGATTGCTGATCTACCCACTAGAGCTTACCATTGAGAGGTGGGCCGGATGTTATGACAAGCCACCAGTACAATCAACCATCTACGAAGCTTTGTTCAATGTCAATCCACTAGGAAGGAATGTAACTCGACTACACTGTTTTAACTTGGCAAGAGCTTCTTGCGACTTACCGAGCTTGAGATCCACGTAAACTGCAGTCAAAGTAGCTTCTGGACTGTTGGGTACTATGGATAATGCCTGTGCAACAAACTGGCGGGCCTGATCAAGTTCACCTTGCATAGCGTACAAGGCAGCAAAATTTACATACAGGCTTGCCAGTGCCTCTTCTGGCTTGAGGAACACGATACCTAATGTGTATTCAGGGGAAGAACTTTTGGCACTCATTGATCCTCCATTCAACTCTTCATAATCAACAGCCCTGACTCCTTGCAATTGCTCAGAGTCCTCCTCGCTGAATGGCAAGTCAACGTTGTTACCTCCAGACAAATATGTCATCAAATGATCAGCGGCATCCTTTGCCCTGTTCAGCAAGCAGAGAGCCTCTGCAGCATACACATGACCTAGAAAGATGTAAATTCTTGAACATTCTGGAAGTTCCAAGAGAGACCTTGCAATTGACAAGGCCTTCATAGGATTTTCCAATTCCAACTCTACATATGCCAGATTTGCAAGAAGAGCTTGTTTGAGCAACAGATTTTCCTTGTTACGAATATCTGCATAGTACAAAAGGGAGTTCTGCACAAGCTCCTGAGTAGTTCCTGCCTTCTGCTCTTTTGCATCCCCATTTATGCCAGACTGGCCCAAGCCTACAGATAACGCAGATGCCTCGGAATCGATGCTGTGAAAGTTCTTGTTGTTTGAGTTCTTGGAAGATGCCACTTCACCTAATTCATTATCCTCTAAGAAGAAATTAGAGGGCAAAGAATTCTTACAATAGCTTGACTCAGAACAGTTCAGTAAGTACAGGGCATTAGAGAGACACTGCCGTGCAAGGGACATCGAGAGCTTAGGCTGCTGATCACTGCCCAAAAACAAATCACCTCTTTCTAGAGAACCTGAATTTCCATTCTTGGAAACCCCGTCTTCCATTACAAGTTGCCTCCACTTTCCATTGCCAATGACATAAACTCTGACTTCTGATGATGCCAGAGTGGTTTCCAATAATCCCTTCTCTAAAGCCATCAGACAGCACTCAGCAAATCGAAGCCACAACAGAGGCCGGTTGTAGAAAACTAAACCAGCCTTTTGAAAACAGCGAGCAGCAAGTAGTGGTTTCCCGCAGGCCAAGTACTGCATACCAGAGTTATATATAATTAGGAGGGAATTGTCCTGTGAAAAAGTTAACAGATTTAGAGGCCTGTCCTTCCGAAGAGATGAACAATTAAGCAACGCGTTGGAGAAGAATACTGATGCTGTGTGATATTTCCCAAGCTGATAATAAATGCATCCTAGATTATTGTTGATCATGCTTGATATCCTTGCATCTGTCCGATTACTAGATGCCATCAACAACTTGATGGCTTTACGATAATTACCACGAGCATATTCAAGCTGGGACTTCAAGAGGAGAGCCATAGAAGAATCTCTCCCGCGTGCAATATTCATAGCATGCTTCACTTCACGTTTAGCTTGCTTTAAGTTCCTAGTGAGAAGCAGAAACCGAACCTTGTAAAGTTGCATCTTAAGCTTCAGATAAACAGAAGAGACAGATATGTCAACTGGGTTCCTTGAAAGATCATTTGAAGATAAAAGAGCAGTTGGCTGTGCTACATCCATGTCGAAAACAGCACCATCATACTCGCCTGTCTCCTCAGACTCCAAGGCATTTGCATCTGAATCCAAATTGGGACCATCCGCGGCTGATGAATTGGTAGGAAGTGATGGAGACTTTGCAACTGGGTTTGCAGGTTGTTGCGACAAAGTGCTTCCACTGTCTCCTTGATTCATACAGCTAACACCAAAAGCTTTTTCCAGATAAACCAAAACATCCTGAACAATAGGAATTGCAATAAGAATCAGTTGGGAATCAAATCAACATAATACAAACATAGCATCCTTATATATACAAAAGGCACGATCACCAAATCGACAAGCTAACCCAACAGAAGCTAACCACCAATATAATCACAGCGCACATAATGAAGTGGGATTAAGCACCCTCGTACAACTCATACACAAGAAGACAGAATGATAGAATCATTGTTGAACAAATCATAACGAAAGAAGAGCTTCAACCATGCTTATAGTACAATCTACATTGCCGTTTGAGATAGGTTCAACCTTTAACCTCATCCAATCAACAATTGCATTGCCGGCGGCCAATATTGATGATCTAAAACAAATGGGGTTTAATTATATTTGGTGGAGTAACTCTGATGTTCAATTTTTATTTTTAACAAAAAATTTCTCAGTTTCGGATAAAAATGTATTAATTTTCTTTTTGATGGGAAACAGGAAGAAAAAAAAGGCAATGGTACAATTCCAAGGACAAGATGTCCTCTAAAGGGAGAAAACAACAGAAAATATTGAAGACACCTACACCAAAGCAACTACATAATATAGCAAAGAGAACAAGAGAAGTTATCAAGAAAAAAATAACTGCATTCCAATTTTTTAAATTGACAGAAAATGAGCTCTCTCAATCTCTGATTGACACCAATGCCCAAAAACTATATTAGTTTTACACAAAGTTTAAAAAACAGATAAAACAAGTTACAGATAAATAACATACAACACAAAATTATGCTACAAGTTTGATCACGCTTGAACCAGAAAAATATCGTCCTGAATAGTGCAATGAACATCACCCAATGTATCAAAACAGGCAAGTTCAACTCAGCTCAAATATCTAACATCATCACCAATGTTGTATCTTCACCTACAAACCCAATCATCCATTTCACAAGCCTTTCAGTAACCAGTCAACCTATAAGTTCATCGCAGTACAAAATGCTTGACAGACATTATATCCCAAAGCATTATCAGCAGCAAAAATTTTAAAAATTTATATATGATACACATAAATCCATTGAATACACCAAATTCAAGATGAACCAAGTTGGGAATCCACAGTGCAATTATATGTATTCAATTTTTTTGCAAAAACAACTTAAAACGACAGATTACAATTTACAACAAAAGAAAACTGAGTACCCTTTTTTCCTGTAAACCAACTTAAGAGAGAAATATCATCAATCTTCGAACAACAATGAATACCTAGCCACTGCTTCTCTTTCTCTATCCTCTGTTCATCTACAATCATTTATAGAACACAAAGCTGTACACTATTTGACTATTGACTGTACATTTTTCAAAAGCTCAATTCCACAAATATTTTCATGTATTACTAATCTAACATTCAAACTCTAAGAATGATAGAACTCAATGGACCTCGTGCACAATTATAAACAGAAGCAAAAAACTAACTGCACTATTAGTATTAGAACTTACAGCAGATTTCGTTGCATCATGGCAAGCCAGCCCAACATCCAGCAACAAAAGGCAAATATTAAGAGCAGTTTTCTGCACATAAATAAAGAAGCACTTAACACAACATTACAACTACAGATACAATATTATTTTAGGTAATAATTAATTTACCTCATCTATAGGTCCTCTATTTTGAAACAGAGGTTCAACGACAGACAATGCCTTTGCATATTCGTGAAGATGGAACCAGATAACTGCCTGCATAAGCCCAGTTTTGGAACAAAAGCATCCAAAGAATTAGAAGGTTCAAAAGATATATTCCTTTTTCCCCCTATGCTAACTCCTGGAAGAAAATATTCAACAGTTAACATAGACTGTAAAAATTATGAAAAGTTAACATACAATGTTTAAGGTAGCAACATATGTGTCAAATTCATCCATGTAAACAGCAGAAAAGGGATGTCCCATTGTACTACTTCCTCTGGACCCTCCAATATTGCTACCAGACTCCGCCTGTTCTGCAGATGCTCGAGCAAGCTCTTCACTTCGTTTCTAAACCAACACCAATTAAAAGAAATTAAGAATAGAGGTAAATCAAGATAAATTTATCATATGTACAGAAATTAACATGCCATGATGCTGATGCTTGCCTCAATATAAAAATGCAAAGTATCATTATGAAGGCATGTTAATGTACTGATGCCTCAGCATACTAATTCTATTCCTCATAGTTACTACAATTCAGTACTACCATAGCAAACCAAAATCCAAGATAACTAGAATTTGGCTACTACAATTCTAATATGCTAGTTTAGTGAGAAGTTTGATCTATTATTTGGCATTTTTTTAAGTAAAGAATAGAAAATATCTACTCTCTACATAAAATCTAGGCAAAGTGGGACCGAAATTCAAAACAATGGCACAAAACTAGTTGTCTAAAACAGAATTTCAAAATGTTAACCCTTGATAAGAAAAAACAGAGAGTGCTCCACTTAAAAGTTCTACCACTGCTCTCCACCCATAAGCACTGAAAACACACTCCACAACTCCTCAAATCTCCCTGTCAGAAACTTTATATATCATGAGGTAAACAAATCAAAAACAGTTTTCAGCATCACCCTAATTCACTTAGGTAGGATCACTAAAATGAAAAATCCAACTATAGAACAAGGGAAAAAATCCCATCACCTTTCATTTGAAAACCCTGTTAGTTTGAGTATACAATAACATGTTGCATGACATGTTATGTGCATACCTGTACATGTGGGATCAGTGGATATTATAAAAATATATATATATATATTCATATATCTGTGTTAGTGTGAGTGGGAAGAAAATGAGAAAAGATACCTTCACATCATTAAGTACATCAAGCAACCTCTTAGGATGTGAGCAACCATCTCGGTAGAATTCCGCAAGTCCGATATTATGAAATATCTAATAAGAATATCCATAATATACAAGATTATAAGGGGTACGCAAAAAGTTGATAAAATACATATCCATAAGCCATTTGAATTAAAATGCAGAATCAAGAGGCAACATAATTCAGTATCAATCTATGTCAAAAGAATCTTACAATTGTTGCAAACTGCTTGAGATAAGGATTGTTGGTGAAGCAAAGCTAGGGTTATTCAATCAATTACCAAAAAGAAAGCCCTATATATTCTTTATAATAAATCTGTACTGTTTATCCACAACATGAAATGATGTTCTAGATCACGCTATTTTAACCCATTCATTCCCTTATGATAGAATTCATTTCTTTGGTAAACCACATAATTATTTTTGTTTTTTATTTTTCCCATTTCTCAACACATTTCTACCATAAACCATTTATCCTTTATCCACCGAGGATATGTTTCTCGATATCCTTCACTCAAATGGGGCGGCAACCAGTTTTCTTCAAAGAAGATGATATCAAGCACAGCCTGTGACGAAACTATTTCGATAAAATATGTAATCCAGTCAAGATTTTAATTTAACCCGCATTAGCTTTACTACAATCTTATTAAGCAGCGCAATCCTATACGTCAAAAGTAGTTAAAATTCTGATACAAGATCTAACACAGACCCAAACACCAGCTATAATCAACTCAAAATAAAAACCCAATTAAAAAGAATCATTTCAGAAATTGAGTTTTAGAACATAATTACTTTAGCTTTGAAAAAAAAAGAGACAATTACTTTGGGATCATTTGGCTTCATCTTCAGGCACTCGGACAAGGCGGTTAGGCACTGATCGAACTTGCCTGACTGGAATTGCAATAAGGCGTCCTGCGCGTAAGCACGGGTTACGGACATGACGGCTTCATCCTCAGAAGCTGAAGAAGACCCGTCCCGATTCGCAACCGTTAATGACGAAGACGAAGATGAAGCCATTCGCAAATCGATCGATCAGAGGCCAGGAACAACGAGACCTTATCTAAATGCAATACACGGTTACAAATGAGGAAGATACAAGATCGATAAAGAAAAGATGAACCCTAACGGGTAAGGATAGGTTGGAATTTATTTAAAATCGGAGTGGGGTTTGGGGGTTTTCGAAACCCTACGGTTTGATTATTTTGCAGAGGAGGACACTTGTTTGAGTCTCTTTCGCTAAACTGTGCTGATTTGCAGAGAGAGAGAGAGAGAGAGAGAGAGAGAGTGGAAAAGGATACGACTATAGGCCAAACTGGGAGGGAGGGATACAGATAGAGGAGAAAAGAGAACAGTTTTCGGGGCTTCTTTTGTTGCTGGGTTTTGAGTCCGAAGTGATTAATTTTTGAGTGAAATGAGTTTTCGACAGGGCGTCTCAATTGGGCTTTCAGATAACTGTGTTTCTCTTTCTTTTTTGTCATTGTTTAATTGATGGGATGGGCCATCGTTTAATTTTTGAGTCAAAACGCTTTATTAACTTTCAGTTTTCTGGGGGTATGATTTAGAATTTAGTGATGATTTTGTTCAGCTTTGTGTTTCATCTTTGATTTGATTTTGTTAATGGGACTTACCTTTTCTATCCGGCCCGATGATTCAAAATGTTCCAAAATCTTGCTTTCTAAAATTTATGAAACAACCACACATGAAAACTGCTTACGAAATATTTTATGCGCGTTGTTTTCTCGTTAAACTTTGCAATTGAAAGTCACGTTATTTTTTAGCCAAGCATATCTATCGAGATGGTAATGTTCCCAGTGATTGGTTGGTTAGTTTGGTCATAAGGTGCAATACCCATAAATGTGGCAACATAGTTTATCTTTTTTTGTAGTTAAATGTATGTGTTAGAGATATTCTGACTATTGGATGTTAGTTTCTTGTTTTATTATTTATTGTTAATAATCGTTAATATATATTCGGAATAAGGTACTGCATACCTTGCGGAAGATTCCAAGTGAAAAACCGCTTGCTCCCGCAGGCCAAGTACTGCATACCAGAGTTATATATAATTAGGAGGGAATTGTCCTGTGAAAAAGTTAACAGATTTAGAGGCCTGTCCTTCCGAAGAGATGAACAATTAAGCAACGCGTTGGAGAAGAATACTGATGCTGTGTGATATTTCCCAAGCTGATAATAAATGCATCCTAGATTATTGTTGATCATGCTTGATATCCTTGCATCTGTCCGATTACTAGATGCCATCAACAACTTGATGGCTTTACGATAATTACCACGAGCATATTCAAGCTGGGACTTCAAGAGGAGAGCCATAGAAGAATCTCTCCCGCGTGCAATATTCATAGCATGCTTCACTTCACGTTTAGCTTGCTTTAAGTTCCTAGTGAGAAGCAGAAACCGAACCTTGTAAAGTTGCATCTTAAGCTTCAGATAAACAGAAGAGACAGATATGTCAACTGGGTTCCTTGAAAGATCATTTGAAGATAAAAGAGCAGTTGGCTGTGCTACATCCATGTCGAAAACAGCACCATCATACTCGCCTGTCTCCTCAGACTCCAAGGCATTTGCATCTGAATCCAAATTGGGACCATCCGCGGCTGATGAATTGGTAGGAAGTGATGGAGACTTTGCAACTGGGTTTGCAGGTTGTTGCGACAAAGTGCTTCCACTGTCTCCTTGATTCATACAGCTAACACCAAAAGCTTTTTCCAGATAAACCAAAACATCCTGAACAATAGGAATTGCAATAAGAATCAGTTGGGAATCAAATCAACATAATACAAACATAGCATCCTTATATATACAAAAGGCACGATCACCAAATCGACAAGCTAACCCAACAGAAGCTAACCACCAATATAATCACAGCGCACATAATGAAGTGGGATTAAGCACCCTCGTACAACTCATACACAAGAAGACAGAATGATAGAATCATTGTTGAACAAATCATAACGAAAGAAGAGCTTCAACCATGCTTATAGTACAATCTACATTGCCGTTTGAGATAGGTTCAACCTTTAACCTCATCCAATCAACAATTGCATTGCCGGCGGCCAATATTGATGATCTAAAACAAATGGGGTTTAATTATATTTGGTGGAGTAACTCTGATGTTCAATTTTTATTTTTAACAAAAAATTTCTCAGTTTCGGATAAAAATGTATTAATTTTCTTTTTGATGGGAAACAGGAAGAAAAAAAAGGCAATGGTACAATTCCAAGGACAAGATGTCCTCTAAAGGGAGAAAACAACAGAAAATATTGAAGACACCTACACCAAAGCAACTACATAATATAGCAAAGAGAACAAGAGAAGTTATCAAGAAAAAAATAACTGCATTCCAATTTTTTAAATTGACAGAAAATGAGCTCTCTCAATCTCTGATTGACACCAATGCCCAAAAACTATATTAGTTTTACACAAAGTTTAAAAAACAGATAAAACAAGTTACAGATAAATAACATACAACACAAAATTATGCTACAAGTTTGATCACGCTTGAACCAGAAAAATATCGTCCTGAATAGTGCAATGAACATCACCCAATGTATCAAAACAGGCAAGTTCAACTCAGCTCAAATATCTAACATCATCACCAATGTTGTATCTTCACCTACAAACCCAATCATCCATTTCACAAGCCTTTCAGTAACCAGTCAACCTATAAGTTCATCGCAGTACAAAATGCTTGACAGACATTATATCCCAAAGCATTATCAGCAGCAAAAATTTTAAAAATTTATATATGATACACATAAATCCATTGAATACACCAAATTCAAGATGAACCAAGTTGGGAATCCACAGTGCAATTATATGTATTCAATTTTTTTGCAAAAACAACTTAAAACGACAGATTACAATTTACAACAAAAGAAAACTGAGTACCCTTTTTTCCTGTAAACCAACTTAAGAGAGAAATATCATCAATCTTCGAACAACAATGAATACCTAGCCACTGCTTCTCTTTCTCTATCCTCTGTTCATCTACAATCATTTATAGAACACAAAGCTGTACACTATTTGACTATTGACTGTACATTTTTCAAAAGCTCAATTCCACAAATATTTTCATGTATTACTAATCTAACATTCAAACTCTAAGAATGATAGAACTCAATGGACCTCGTGCACAATTATAAACAGAAGCAAAAAACTAACTGCACTATTAGTATTAGAACTTACAGCAGATTTCGTTGCATCATGGCAAGCCAGCCCAACATCCAGCAACAAAAGGCAAATATTAAGAGCAGTTTTCTGCACATAAATAAAGAAGCACTTAACACAACATTACAACTACAGATACAATATTATTTTAGGTAATAATTAATTTACCTCATCTATAGGTCCTCTATTTTGAAACAGAGGTTCAACGACAGACAATGCCTTTGCATATTCGTGAAGATGGAACCAGATAACTGCCTGCATAAGCCCAGTTTTGGAACAAAAGCATCCAAAGAATTAGAAGGTTCAAAAGATATATTCCTTTTTCCCCCTATGCTAACTCCTGGAAGAAAATATTCAACAGTTAACATAGACTGTAAAAATTATGAAAAGTTAACATACAATGTTTAAGGTAGCAACATATGTGTCAAATTCATCCATGTAAACAGCAGAAAAGGGATGTCCCATTGTACTACTTCCTCTGGACCCTCCAATATTGCTACCAGACTCCGCCTGTTCTGCAGATGCTCGAGCAAGCTCTTCACTTCGTTTCTAAACCAACACCAATTAAAAGAAATTAAGAATAGAGGTAAATCAAGATAAATTTATCATATGTACAGAAATTAACATGCCATGATGCTGATGCTTGCCTCAATATAAAAATGCAAAGTATCATTATGAAGGCATGTTAATGTACTGATGCCTCAGCATACTAATTCTATTCCTCATAGTTACTACAATTCAGTACTACCATAGCAAACCAAAATCCAAGATAACTAGAATTTGGCTACTACAATTCTAATATGCTAGTTTAGTGAGAAGTTTGATCTATTATTTGGCATTTTTTTAAGTAAAGAATAGAAAATATCTACTCTCTACATAAAATCTAGGCAAAGTGGGACCGAAATTCAAAACAATGGCACAAAACTAGTTGTCTAAAACAGAATTTCAAAATGTTAACCCTTGATAAGAAAAAACAGAGAGTGCTCCACTTAAAAGTTCTACCACTGCTCTCCACCCATAAGCACTGAAAACACACTCCACAACTCCTCAAATCTCCCTGTCAGAAACTTTATATATCATGAGGTAAACAAATCAAAAACAGTTTTCAGCATCACCCTAATTCACTTAGGTAGGATCACTAAAATGAAAAATCCAACTATAGAACAAGGGAAAAAATCCCATCACCTTTCATTTGAAAACCCTGTTAGTTTGAGTATACAATAACATGTTGCATGACATGTTATGTGCATACCTGTACATGTGGGATCAGTGGATATTATAAAAATATATATATATATATTCATATATCTGTGTTAGTGTGAGTGGGAAGAAAATGAGAAAAGATACCTTCACATCATTAAGTACATCAAGCAACCTCTTAGGATGTGAGCAACCATCTCGGTAGAATTCCGCAAGTCCGATATTATGAAATATCTAATAAGAATATCCATAATATACAAGATTATAAGGGGTACGCAAAAAGTTGATAAAATACATATCCATAAGCCATTTGAATTAAAATGCAGAATCAAGAGGCAACATAATTCAGTATCAATCTATGTCAAAAGAATCTTACAATTGTTGCAAACTGCTTGAGATAAGGATTGTTGGTGAAGCAAAGCTAGGGTTATTCAATCAATTACCAAAAAGAAAGCCCTATATATTCTTTATAATAAATCTGTACTGTTTATCCACAACATGAAATGATGTTCTAGATCACGCTATTTTAACCCATTCATTCCCTTATGATAGAATTCATTTCTTTGGTAAACCACATAATTATTTTTGTTTTTTATTTTTCCCATTTCTCAACACATTTCTACCATAAACCATTTATCCTTTATCCACCGAGGATATGTTTCTCGATATCCTTCACTCAAATGGGGCGGCAACCAGTTTTCTTCAAAGAAGATGATATCAAGCACAGCCTGTGACGAAACTATTTCGATAAAATATGTAATCCAGTCAAGATTTTAATTTAACCCGCATTAGCTTTACTACAATCTTATTAAGCAGCGCAATCCTATACGTCAAAAGTAGTTAAAATTCTGATACAAGATCTAACACAGACCCAAACACCAGCTATAATCAACTCAAAATAAAAACCCAATTAAAAAGAATCATTTCAGAAATTGAGTTTTAGAACATAATTACTTTAGCTTTGAAAAAAAAAGAGACAATTACTTTGGGATCATTTGGCTTCATCTTCAGGCACTCGGACAAGGCGGTTAGGCACTGATCGAACTTGCCTGACTGGAATTGCAATAAGGCGTCCTGCGCGTAAGCACGGGTTACGGACATGACGGCTTCATCCTCAGAAGCTGAAGAAGACCCGTCCCGATTCGCAACCGTTAATGACGAAGACGAAGATGAAGCCATTCGCAAATCGATCGATCAGAGGCCAGGAACAACGAGACCTTATCTAAATGCAATACACGGTTACAAATGAGGAAGATACAAGATCGATAAAGAAAAGATGAACCCTAACGGGTAAGGATAGGTTGGAATTTATTTAAAATCGGAGTGGGGTTTGGGGGTTTTCGAAACCCTACGGTTTGATTATTTTGCAGAGGAGGACACTTGTTTGAGTCTCTTTCGCTAAACTGTGCTGATTTGCAGAGAGAGAGAGAGAGAGAGAGAGAGAGAGTGGAAAAGGATACGACTATAGGCCAAACTGGGAGGGAGGGATACAGATAGAGGAGAAAAGAGAACAGTTTTCGGGGCTTCTTTTGTTGCTGGGTTTTGAGTCCGAAGTGATTAATTTTTGAGTGAAATGAGTTTTCGACAGGGCGTCTCAATTGGGCTTTCAGATAACTGTGTTTCTCTTTCTTTTTTGTCATTGTTTAATTGATGGGATGGGCCATCGTTTAATTTTTGAGTCAAAACGCTTTATTAACTTTCAGTTTTCTGGGGGTATGATTTAGAATTTAGTGATGATTTTGTTCAGCTTTGTGTTTCATCTTTGATTTGATTTTGTTAATGGGACTTACCTTTTCTATCCGGCCCGATGATTCAAAATGTTCCAAAATCTTGCTTTCTAAAATTTATGAAACAACCACACATGAAAACTGCTTACGAAATATTTTATGCGCGTTGTTTTCTCGTTAAACTTTGCAATTGAAAGTCACGTTATTTTTTAGCCAAGCATATCTATCGAGATGGTAATGTTCCCAGTGATTGGTTGGTTAGTTTGGTCATAAGGTGCAATACCCATAAATGTGGCAACATAGTTTATCTTTTTTTGTAGTTAAATGTATGTGTTAGAGATATTCTGACTATTGGATGTTAGTTTCTTGTTTTATTATTTATTGTTAATAATCGTTAATATATATTCGGAATAAGGTACTGCATACCTTGCGGAAGATTCCAAGTGAAAAACCGCTTGCAATTACTAGCCCGCCGAGATGCTTCCACGTCACGAACACGCCAACAAGATTCTACACGTTCTTCGTCTCCAAGGTCGTTGGATTGGCTATGAAAGTTACTCCATTGATTCCACGTACCCAAGACCAAGGCTCTTGGTGAATTGCCTAAAGGAGAGTGTTTAGGGAGATATGAGGTTTCTCTCTTTGTGGGTGTAAAACTCACTACAACTCTTTGATATGCACTCACACTTCTTGTCTCACACACACCAACTTAGAGAGTATGCACTAATGCTTCTCATCATCTCTTCACTTGCACACACTCCATCTATTTATAGGAGTTGTTTTAGCTCATCTCAAGAGAGCATAAAACATGCACTAGTGCTTAGGTTGGTAGTGCACTAAAACAAGGTTTAGTGCCTTAAAACAAGGATTAGTGTAGTGCCATAAAACAAGGCCAAGTGCCTTAATTTGTGTAGTGCCATAAAACAAGGCTAAGTGCCTTAATTTGTGTAGTGCCATAAAACAAGGCTAAGTGCCTTAATTTGTGTAGTGCCATAAAACAAGGCTAAGTGCCTTAATTTGTGTAGTGCCATAAAACAAGGCTAAGTGCCTTAATTTGTGTAGTGCCATAAAACAAGGCTAAGTGCCTTAATTTGTGTAGTGCCATAAAACAAGGCTAAGTGCCTTAATTTGTGTAGTGCCATAAAACAAGGCTAAGTGCCTTAATTTGTGTAGTGCCATAAAACAAGGCTAAGTGCCTTAATTTGTGTAGTGCCATAAAACAAGGCTAAGTGCCTTAATTTGTGTAGTGCCATAAAACAAGGCTAAGTGCCTTAATTTGTGTAGTGCCATAAAACAAGGCTAAGTGCCTTAATTTGTGTAGTGCCATAAAACAAGGCTAAGTGCCTTAATTTGTGTAGTGCCATAAAACAAGGCTAAGTGCCTTAATTTGTGTAGTGCCATAAAACAAGGCTAAGTGCCTTAATTTGTGTAGTGCCATAAAACAAGGCTAAGTGCCTTAATTTGTGTAGTGCCATAAAACAAGGATTAGTGCATAATCATTGTTTTATTACATCTCCCACTCACCCACATAGGGTGTGATAACCTTGTTTTATTACATTTATATATGTAGCAAACAAACAAGAGAACCGCTCACCAAATCAACATATGGTGACACTAAATGAATGCAAATTCCAACTCTGAAATTTTTCATCAAACTGCTTTCGGAATGTTTCATTCACATTGTTTTCTCGTTAAACTCTTGCAATAAGTCACGACATTTTCTATTCAAGCATATTTATTGATGGTGGTAATGTTGTTGGTGATTGGCTAGTAAGATTGGGTCATAAGGTGAAATCCGCATAAGTGTGTCAACATAATTCTCTTCGGTCGTCTTAAAGATACGCTCGCTATTGAGTGTTAGTGTAACGCTTTTTTATTCATACCATTAGCAAACAAACATAAGTAATACTCACCAAATCAACATAGGGTGGCACTGAATCAATGCATATTCCTAAGTGTGATGAAATTTTTCATCAAATAGTTCCCAAAATGTTTCATAAGTGTCGTTTTCTTCGTTAAACTCTTGCAATTAAAAGTCATTTTCTCGCCAAGCATATCTATGGAGATGGTAATGTTTATTTATATTTTAATCAATTTAAAATTTATAAAAAGTGAAGATGTGGGGCCCATAATGCCACATAGAAAACTAACGGAGAGATTTGATGAAAACCCTAACGGCGGAACCACATTGTAACAAATTTGAAAGACCGGGGTATGTGACTCTAAAAATTAAAAAAATAGGGACTAATATATATTAACGGTGTAACCACAGGGTACTAAACTGTAATTAACCCTCTACTATATATACAGAAAAAGTGTGAGCTAGAAACTGTCAAGAGAGAAGCTGGATGATATATATTAATCAAAGAGCTCACGCAGTCAGCCAACTATCCATTTCTCAAGAGCTCCAAGATGCACTCTGCGTTCCGGATATCTTGGTTCTCTTGTGAATCCTCATTGTTATTTCCTTGGGAAAAATCAACACTTGTGAAAGTCTGGACACCGGGGCCATGACCACCACAGTCCCGTTCCCTTCCTTGCTGTGCTCGTCTTACTTCCTTCTGATGCTCGGTTAGTTCCAGCCTTCTCCTCTTCAAACTTGGATGAGGCATTTCCTTGTGCTCACCACCACTTATGGTATCCTCTACAAGTTCTACTCTTTTTGAGACTCTGTTTTGGGTTGCATTCACCCTGTATCTTGGCGGAACAGCTGCGACTTGCGGTCTAGATTGACATCTTTGAAGTGGTAGGCTTCTCTTGTGGAGGTTTATTCTGCCATTCCTCCAGAGCTTGTCTAGGACATTAAGTAAGGTCTTAGGGTAATCCAACTTGGTTTGTTCACCATATGTGGAATTCCAATAAGTGATGGTCTGCTCTGAAATGGACAGATTTGGGTGATCAAGAGTTTTTTCAAGGATGGGTGCTTGGAGTTTGAGAAATGCAGAATCAAAGATTATTGGTGGCTGACTCCTCCGTAAACAGCCAAGTGTTTCTGCCCATAGGAGTTGAAATTGATCACTGGTGCTCTCATCCTGCATTTCCATGAGTACCAGCCACTGAAGCAGTGGGCTGGATATCAACTGCAAGCACATAGATGCATAAAACCATGTAAAGCATTTTTAAGAAATATAAGCTAATGCATGAAAGCCAAAAATTAAAGTCAATACTGATTTATTATCATTCACTCAGAAAAAGAAGGGAATAGAAAACAACAGATGAAACAGCTGGACAACACTTTCAGTAGGGACACTCTAATAAAGGGTTTCCAGCACATTCTAGGTCTCAATTTTTCAAACAAACTGTTCAATTTCTTCAATAAAATAGGAGCCGCTACATGCTCATTATTTATTTATTATGACTAATTCGAGCAGATGGATCTCACTTAAGCCAGTAACAACTTTAATCTAAACTTGCTTCAATTTGAAAGAAGATGTGTTCTTCTTCCTCAATGCCGTGATCTAAAGACTCATAATAGTGAACTGGTATATAGTCTTATCATATCTCTTCGCTTCACTATGAAAGGAGACAAAAATCACAAATCACAGGAAATAGGCACGAACCTCAAAGAAGGAAAGGATATCCTCTTTCAAGTGAAGGGAACTGATGAAGTAGGCCAATGTAGAATATACCCTGCAACTTTCACATCAAATGGAGGCATTGATATTAATGAAATCATACAAGGAACAGCACAAACATGAAAGCTAAGAAATCGGCTGCCTTGACTTACCTCGGGGCCACACTAAGACCAATTGGTGAGTCTGTTCCCATCTTTGTCTGCAACAACTCCATATATCTGTATAATAATGATGCATTAAACATGAGAAGTCACAGTGGAACCATTTGACTTTGGCTAAATTCAAGTTAGCAGAATTTGCACTTACCTAATGGTCACTTTCAGGCAGCATGTGATGGCACTGGAGACCTTGTAGTTAGAGCCATGCTTATCATTTCCATCTGAACTTATTTCTGAAGAACGGAAATTTTCCAAAATACATATCAACACATCACCATATAAGGCAATGAGATGGAGATCCAGACCCTCGAATTTTAACTCAAGCTCATTGCCACACACAAGCATGCTAGTATACTTGTCAAGGCACCTATCCAATATTGAAAACAGATCCTCAAAGAAACTTCCAATAGTGAAACACCCAGACAACGAGGTACACATAGAACCATAGAGTGAGGTCCACAATGTGATAACTTGTTCAAGCTCAACCTGTATCTGCAATGAAGCAGGAGATTCTTCTGGGGAGCTTCTAATGTTTGCTGACTTAAAGTCTTTCTGGGTGCAGGAGCATACAAATAGCGGGTAGGACAAGAGATACAACATGGCAAAACAACATTTGCTGTCAGAGTCCATTTTCAATAATGAAAAATCCTTCACATCATTAATGTAGAACTTCAGACCTTCTGCTATTGCTATCCACATGCTTAAGCAGCTAGGCCCACTGTGCTTGTACAATAATCCACTAGTGACAACTAGACTTTCCAGGGGATCAAATGATGATAACATAAATTTAAAATATTTCTGCATTCTATGCAGAATGAAGTCTGTTTTGCCTACACGCAAAGTTGACTGAACCACCACACAGAAGTAAAGTACGCTTAAATAAACCATTGGTGAAACCATGTCCATATAAGCAACAGGGCTTACATCCAATTTTGCAAATCCAATGTCAGCAACCGCTTGCAGGTATTCAATATGCTTGATGTCTAATGGCACCTTGTAAAGAGGGGATCCCACTATAGTAGGTTCTATCTCCTCACCTACAGCCTCCACCAACTGAAGGCATGTATGATGCAAGTCATTTCTGTCACTACTATTCGAACTTACTTCTTCACATACATTTTTTATGAACTTCAGTATTGCATT